AGAACTGGGGTACAGGCCAGAGATGCAGGGACAGTGAGAGGGCTCACCAGTGACAATGGGGAGGAGAACAGGCTGACTGACTAAGTACACTGCTGAGGGGAGCAATGGGTGGGTCAGGGGAGATCTGCCGTACCTTGTGGATCACCCCCAGGGCAGGGATTGAACTCATGCTAAAGTGTCTTTAGCTTCTTTGTGCTGTGCTTTAACCCTCAGTGCTAGCAGGGAGGGCCCTACTGTTATAATTTTTATGTAATATAGCTATTGCAGATTAAGACGTTTCTCCAAGAAGGCAAAAAAAAAAAAAAAAGAAAATTGTATTATAGCACAAACATTCTTTGGTTAAAAATGGTGCTTAGTCCCTCCCTGGTGGTGCAACAGGTTTAAAGCACAGCACTGTGAAGCTTTCCACAGCCACTGCAGCATGAATTTGATTCCCTGCCAGGGATGTGACCCACATGGCGTGGCAAACCTCTGTGATCCCCCCCTCAGCAGTGTACTTCCGTCGATCTGCCTCTTCTGTTCCCCATTCTGTCTCTGGTGAATCCTCTCTCCCCCATCCCCTGCACCTCTGGCCTGTACCCCAGTTCTGTATGTATAAATAAATCTTTCAAAAAAAAAAGTGCTTAAACTTGTACTCAAGAGACTTGAGCTTTTCTTTATTTCTAATTTTAGATACAGTAAATACCAGCTGCTCAATAAATAATGCTGTGGAAAGCATTGTCAGGATAAAAAGAAATAATTATTATCATTTCACAGCTTTATTTTATTTTGAAGATTTATTTATACATACCGAACTGGGGTATAGGCCGAGGTGCGGGGGGTGAGAGGTTTCACCAGAAATAGAAGTCTGCTTTGACAATATAGCTCAGCTCCCTGAACCATGTTGTGGTGACTGGCCGTAGCTTGATAACACTGTGTCTTTAACCCCTGCACCACTACGGAGGCACCAGAAATTGTTTATAAAGAAATCTACGGTTGCATATGTAGTAAGCAAAAACTGGGTTTTATGGCTATTTTTAATATCACTGTTTTTCTTTGCCTCAAATATTTTTTTATGAAATAGTCTTCCTATATACCCTTAATTATAAAATTTGCATTTGCCTCTTTGTCTTTTGTTATGAAGCATGAGAATTTTTCATAGACTTTCGACTGAAAAATAATCTATTTTAATTTATATACATGTTTTTTATCTATGCGTACAAGAACCAGGGTGTAGGTCAGACATACAGGGTGGGTGAAAGGATTCACTAGAGACAGAGTAGGAAACAGGTCAGGCAGATCTACTGAAATACACTGCTGAGGCGAGAGTGGAAGAGACTGGAGAGGTCTGATGTGCCACGTGACCAGCCTGACCCCTAGCCGGCCTGGTTGTGAAGGTGCTGCAGCGGCTTGTAATAGCTTGATAGCACACTCTTTAAATCCTGTGAAATTAGGGAGGCCCCACTTATATTTCATTTTCTCTGTTGTCAGAACCTTTTAAAAATATGTTTGTTTTTACATCATTTTATGCAATTTTCCATCTCAGTTGCAATCCCCTTGGGCTTCCCATCACCAAATCATCCTGTGCCATCACCATAGTCCAGTGCATTTCCCTCCCCACTCTGTTTTTGGTACCATTCCCCACTCCACCCCCACAAAATGTCTCTGGTATGTAGCTGTTCATCATTACCATTATTTTCTCGTCTGTTCCATTATATGCCTGCTATGAGAGAAACCATCCGTTATTTTTCCTTTTCTTCCTGGCTTATTTCACTAAGCATGATCTTTTCCAGATCCATCCATGTTGCTGCAAAAGACAGTGTTTCTTTTTTATTGGTTGCTGAGTAATATTCCATTGTGTATATGTACCACATCTTTTTATTATTATTAGTCATCCATTTTTGGGCATTTGGGCTGTTTCCATGTCTTTCCAATTGTGAATAAAGCAGCAATATACATGGGGGTGCAGGTATCTTTTTGAATCACTGTTTTTGTGTTTTTTGGGTAGATACCTAGGAGTGGGATTGCTGGGTCGTAGGGAAGCTCCACATTTAGCAGTTTGAGGAACCTCCAAACAGTTTTCCATAGTGGTTGTACTAGTTTGCATTCCCCCCAGCAGTGCAGGAAAGTTCCTTTTTCTCCACATCTTCGCCAACATTTGTTGTTGCTAGTTGTTTGAAGATGTGCCATTCTCCCTGGGGTGAGGTGGTATCTCATTGTGGTTTTAATTTGCATCTCCCCTTACTACACCCACTTATATTTCTTAACAGTAACAATGACTTTTGTGCTTATTAGTGCCTGGTTAGTTTGATAACTATTCCAAAAATAGAAATTTATTTAAAAAACCCATTTCATTTGCCATCTTACAGATTTATCTTATAAAAGACTTTCAGACTTTGCTTTGTAATTTTGTAGTTCTTTGTGGAAGAACTAGAATCCCATAAGTAAAACATGAACCTCTTTGTAGTTTATTAATGTTTAATGCTTATGCTTGGTTTTGGGGGCTTGCTTGCTTTCTTTTTCTCATTAGATAAAACTTGAAAGTATATTCAAGTGTATTCAAATTGCCCCTCCTATAGGGGACACAATCAATGTAGCCTTATTCTTTATCACTGTATCTTGTTTAAAGCACCCTTTTATTACTTGTGACATTCTCTTTGTCTCATTGAACCTGACAAGTAGTGGTGTGTGTGAGTGTGTGTGTGTGTGTGTGTGTGTAGGTATGTAGGTATGTAGGTGTGTAGGGCTACATCTATATGTTATATGCATGATTGGTGGTAGTGATTTTGTCTTTCTAAAACAAGGGGCAGAAGCTCTCATATGTGGGTACTTCTTGTCACTGACTTCTCCCTTTGCAGACAGCAGTAGCTCTCTTCCCAAAGCTGCCTACCTGTGACTGTTCTGGCTTCTCATTTAGCTAACTTGTCTCTCTCCTAGTAGCTCTTTTATGCACATTTGTGTCTGTGCAAGAGTCCTTTGCTCTCATTTTCCTCTTTCTAGTAAATCTGCCCTTATTAGCAAAACTAGGATTTGAACAGTGGTATGTGGGATTTTTTTACCATTATACAATATTCCTTTTATAAATTTTTCTCAGAGATATTTATTGCTGTTTCTATCAGTTCTATACAAATGATTCATATACCTATCTTTAGTTTCAGTTTTCGCCTGAGCTTCAAGATCTCTATTCCAACCATACTTTTTGGTTTTGCATAGTGTAAATTTGTCATCTTTTCCTATAACTTTTCTTCTACTAGTTCTTCCTATTTCTTTCTTTCTTCTTTTTGGTTTGTTTAAGCATTTATTTTTATTTATGCATAAAAGAATGGTGGTCTAGGCCAGAGGTACTGGGGGTGAGAAGATTCACCAGAGACAGAGTGGTGAGCAGAACAGGCAGATCTGAACTACACTGTGTAGTTCTATTTTTTAAAAAATTTATGTATTTATACATACAAGAACTGGGGTACTGCCAGATGTGCAGTGGGTGAGAGGAGTCACCAGAGATAGAGCGGGGAGCACTACAGGCAGATTGACTGAAATACAGTGCTAAGGGAGCAGCGGGCATGGCAGAAGAGGTCTGCTACACCATGTGGGTCACCTCCCTGTCTGTGTGTCTTCTGCAGTATTTCTCCCAACTTCTTTTTGTCATGATTATAGTGTAGCTTTGTGGTTTTAGTGTAAAATTCTCTAAGTGTTTCATTTTACTTTGTGTCACACTGTCATCAGATTAATCTTCTTAAAGCATAACTCTTGATTTTTGTAGACCATAGTTGAACTATACTTTCACATGTTTCTACAGTATGAATCTAGGTACTTTTATAACTGTTATCTTATTATGCTCTCTTTAAGTGTACCCTGACTTACAACTAAGCTGTGTGTTATTCAATCTTGTAAATATCGTCTCCATTTTTGTACTGCTGTGCTTTTGTTAGCCTTTTACCAATTATATACGTTCTTTTTCTTCACCGTTTAGTCTCTACCACTATTGATATCTTCACTCTATCATTAAGGTCCATCTCATACCATTTATTCTATGAAGCTTTTTTAGAATCACACCATTGGGGATACAGGATTTTCTTCTTTTATTCCCATTCCTCAAAGCACTCTGTACTTTTTCTTTTTTAAGATTTATTTATTTATGCATATAGAACTCGGGTGCAGGCCAGAGGTGCAGGGGCGGTGAGAGGATTCACCAGAAACAGTGGTGAGCAGAACAGGCAAATCGACAAAGTACACTGCTGAGGGGAGGAGCAGGCAAGATAGGAGAGGTCTGCTGTGCCTTGTGGATCACCTCTGGGGTGGGGATCGAACTTGCAGAAGTGGCCATAGCTTGGCTTAACTTTGCAGTGCAGTGCTCCAACCCACTGAGCCACCAGGGAGGGCCTGCATTTTGTACTTCTTATCTAACATTGTCTGTTTATTCTAATTATTTGTGTACTTGCCTTCATTTCCCCACATAGCAAATTCCTTGAGAGTAGAGATAGTTATCTCCACTAACCCTAGAATTTGTTCATAGATGCCCAAACATTTATTGAACCCAGACTTAGACATATGAGGACACATGTTTCAGAATAAACATTATATTTTCACTTCAGGCTTGACCGTCTTTTTATTTTACTGGATACTGGCACTACTCCAGTTACGAGAAAAGCTGCTGCACAGCAACTTGGAGAAGTGGTGAAGCTTCATCCCCATGAACTAAATAATCTCCTATCGAAAGTAAGAAGTCTTTTTTTTTCTCTTTTAGTATAATGCAGTTGTAGAACTTTGTCCATGGAATAGGGACATAAAAGTAAAGCTAGAAATTACTTTATGGTAGTGACAATGTGTGATCTTCAAATTCATTTAATATTCAGATATTTAAAAAGTTTTGCTATTTGTTTTTTGTTATAAGATTAAAAATACTTTTTAAAAAAATCTCAAGTTTGGTTGTTTAAAGTATTTAATAATATTGAAACTTTTGCCTATGGCACAAATTTGAATCTGACCCAATTTGGTAATGAACTAAGTTGTTAATCTAGTTTGGTAGTGGTTTAACTTGTTCTTAATGACTAATAATTATATCATAGTTGGCAGTCTTCAAATGGGTAAGTACTCATAGTAAATGATTGAAATATTAGTTATCAACTGCTTGAAGGGGAAGGCTTTCTCTGCTTTGGTGGATTTGTGATTTCATAATTCTCTTCCATGGTTTCTAAGCAATTGCCTTATTTTTACTGGACTCTAGTTTTGTAGAAGTGTGCCTGTGTGTAATAAGTGGTGATTTCCATGTGTTTAAATCTTTGACACATAGAATGAAAAAGAGGAGTGTTGCGTGTTTATGTTAGGGGGGGTAGAGGATAGGCAGTGGGAGCAGGATATGATAGTTTAAACATTGGGAGCCCCAAGAAACCTCTTCCCATTGTTCTTCTTTCATTTTATTTTTGTCCCTGATTCACATGAGTAGGAATTCTAAGCTGTTTGTTAACATACAAATTTGCATCATGGAGGCTAACAGTAGCTCTCTTTACAACATATTTTCCACTTAGTATCAGAATTACCACAATGTGGATGGAAAGAATGATTTGAAAACCTATAGGCTCCGAGTTTTCAAATGAAAGGATGAGTATTAGCCAATATTATACTCATGTGTAAATTGAGGGGCTAGAGAGGCATCTCCTTTTCTTCTATCCTAAGGGAGGAGATGGAGGACTTGAATGAACTGAAATTGGAAACAGTGAACCAGACTAATCTGTGCTGAACTGAGAAAAAATTTCCAGTCTTCCATGTGAGTTCTGAACTTCTTAACTCAGACTTGAGCATAGTAGCTACACTCACTTAATTCCAAAAAAGGCAAAGTTTGTTTGCCGTAGCATCACTTCTGTGTTTTTTTGTTGCTGTTTGGTTCTGTTTTTTTAAACACCTTTCTTGAAATCTAATTTACACACCATACAATTCACCCTTGTAAAGTGTATAATTCAATGATTTTTAATATAGTCATAGGTTTGTGCAGCCAGTATTACCACTGTCTGTTTTTAAAATATTTTTAATCTCTCTAAAAAGAAGTCTCATGCCCAGTCACTCATCTCTTGTTTTCTCATACCCAGTCCCAGGATACTGTCAGTCTATTTTCTGTCTATAGATTTGCCCTGTTCAAAACATTTCACATATGTATGTGGCCTCTTATGATTGATTTCTTTCACTTAATTAGTGTTTTCAAGCTTCTTTCATAATGTAGCATGTCTCATTATTTCATTCCTTTTTTATTGCCAAATATCCCATTGTAAGGATGGACATTGGCATTTCTTTTTGGCCTGTTACCAATAATGCTGTTATGAAGATTCATGTGTTTATTTTTGTGTAGATGTGTGTTTTCATTTCTCTTGGAGGCTTATTTCTTCCTGGGAGTAGAATTGTAAATTATATGCTAACTATGTTTAACTTCATGAGGAACTGCTAGGTTGTTTTCCAAACAGGTTCTACCATTCAAGGTCATTCAGCAGTATATGAAGGTTCTTGTTTTTCCATCTCCTTGCCAATACTTGTTATTAATTGATTTTGATTAGAATCAAACTAGTGAATGTGAAGTTATCTTACTATGTTTTTGACTTACATTTTCCTGGTGATTATTGATGTTAAACATCTTTTCACATATTGATCATTTGCTTGTCTTCTTTGGAGAATGGTCTATTCTAGTCCTTTACCCACTTGTGAGATTTTTGTTTATTATTGAATAAATAATTCAATAATTATTTATATACTCTTGTGGTACACAAGAGTACACAAGCATCTCATCAGATAATTTGATTTGTAAATATTTACTCCCATGATGTGGGCTGTCATTTATAATAATCAGTTGGAATTGTTAGGAATTGTGTTGAATCTAGAAGTGAGTTGAGGGAGAATTACTACCTCAATGATACTAAGTCTTCTAATCCATGAACATCCATGTCTTTAATTTTATTTAGATGCATTTTGAATATTTTGTAGTTTCCAGTTGTATTTTTAAAAAAGATTTATTTATTTATGTATACAAGAACTGGGGTACAGGCCAGAGGTGTAGAGGCGGTGAGAGTATTCACTAGAGACAGAGTGGGGAACAGGTAGACGGATGAAGTACACTGCTGAGGAGAGCAGCCATCGGGTTAGGAGAGGTCTGCCATGCCATGTGGATCACCTCCGGGGCCAGGATCGAACTTTCACTGAAGCGGCTGCAGCTTGCTTGCAGTGCTGCATCCTAACCCATACTGCCACTAGGGGGGACCTTCTCTTAAGCATTTTTTAATTAAAAGTTTTCTACTTCTTTTTTTAAGGTGTAGTGATTTCCTCTGAATGATAGATTTTCTAAATGATTTAGTAATTTGAAAGCATTTTAGAATTGCTAAATGATAAACTAATAAATAGTAAGTAAATTTGTATTTCTATATTCTGACAACATTGAACAAACAGTATTTTTTTTTTTTTGGGGGTATATGACTCTTACTTTATAATTTTAAGGTGTTGATATATTTAAGAAGTACAAACTGGGATACCCGGATTGCAGCAGGACAAGCTGTTGAAGCTATAGTGAAAAATGTTCCTGAGTGGAATCCTGTGCCAAGAACCAAACAAGGTGCTTTTAAGTGGAAAAAAAGTTTGCAGTAAAAACTTAACTTAGATTAACTATACTGTAATAACATTTTATGTTTTAATGATTTCATTGTTCATTTAAAAGCTTTTAATTTTCATGCTTTTTAGTGCAAACTTATGAGAAATGACATTTGAGTATCATCATGCCTTTAGAAAACCACTAAACAGTGTTTTTAATATTTATATGTTAAATTATTCTGCAGTATGCGTGATTTACAGAGATTGTTATTTTTTTTCAGGGTGCTTAAATCCTAAACATGGAAATTAACTCAAAACTGTAAAGGTATACATTTTAGTTAAGTGAAAATATGAATGTGACTGGAGTTTTAATTTTCTAGTCACTTTGATAATAACACTTATTTCTAAAAATTTAATTTGCTGGTATAAGTGATTTGTTAATTTGTCTTTTATCCTAAAATGATACATATAGCCAGACACCATAAATTATTTTAGAAAAGTGCACTTTTCAGGTTATTGTCTCTACTTAATCTTGGTATATGTATACCACAGCTCAGCTCAGCTTTTTTTTTTTTTAAAGATTTATTTATGCATACCGAACTGGGGTGCAAGCCAGAGGTACGGGGTGGTGAGAAGATTCACCGGAGACAGAGTGGGGAGTGGAACAGGCAGATGTACGAAATATACTGCTGAGGGGAGCAGTGGGCAAGACAGGATAAGTCTGCTGTGCCATGTGGGTCACCTCACTGGCTGGGGATTGACTTGTGCTGAAGCAGCTCCCTCCCGCTTGCTTCATAGTGCTGTACTTTAACCCATTTGTGCCAGGGAGGACCGTTTTGAAAACAAACAAACAAGCAAACAAAAACTATTAAATTCGTTGTACTAGCTTTAACATTTATAGTAAGATTGCTTGTCATCACTAGAAAATTGAAAATATTTGTAGCAGTTCATTTTAAATAATTATTTTTTAGTTTACAGAGGCCTTATGCAAATACCAGCTAAATATTAAAATCACCGAGCAATTACTGTACATTTAAAATTTTTTAATGACATAGCCATTCATAGATATTAAGTCTCAGATGTATACAAAATTTTAGCAGATTATAATTTCCTTATGAGAAATATAATTTCCTTATTCTACTGAATAAGTTTCTTTATGTCCTAAATATCAATCAGGTACAGGAAAAGGTGGGCAATGCTTAGTAGTCTTATTTATGAATATATACTTTGAATGTATGTTAGTGTAGCCAATAATAAATTCATGCTGTTAACCATGGTATTTTAAAACTGTTTAATAGTCAGTAGTGGAGTCAGATATTAAACATATATTTAATGTTGAGTGCATTTTTTCATAGAACAATGTGCCTTTGTGTAAAAAACACATGTACCTGTAATTATTCTTATGGTTTATAAAAGGGGCACCACCAATTATTCATAAATAAGAGTTGATCATTAAACAACAGTAGCATTTTTGTTTCTTCTACCTTTCAGTTTTGTTTTTAAATTTCTCTGGCATTAACTAATTAGTATCTAGTATTTTATTAATTTTTACGATTTATTTATGCATACAGAATTGGGGTACAGGTCAGAGGTGCAGGGGTGGTGAGAGGATTCACCAGAGACAGAGTGGGGAGCAAAACAGGCAGATTGATGAAGTACCTTGCTGAGGGGAGCAAGTGTGCGAGACAGGAGAGGTCACCTCTGGGACTATGGACTGAAGCGGCTGTGGCTAGCTTGCATCCTAACCCATTGTGCCACCAGGAAGAGCCCTACCTTTTAGTTTTCTTAAAACATTACCCACTCACCCCAAGCAATGCTGTTTTCTTTCATTGTAAATTTTGGCTATATGATCAAGTTAATTGTTTTTATTTTACTTACTTTTTAAAGACTATTTATGCATACAGGAACTGGGGTGTAGGCCAGAGATGAGATGTGTGTGAGAAGGGTTCACTAGAAACAGAGTGGGAAACTGAGCAGGTGTATTTACTGAAGTACACTGCTGAGGGTTGTAGTGATTGAGACAGCATAGGCCTGTTGTGCTAAGTGGGTCAGCTCCCTGACTGGGGATCAGTCTCGTGCTACAGTGGCTGTTAGCTTGATAGTGCTAAGATTTAACTCCTTGTGCCACCAGGGAGGCCCAAGTAAATTGTTTTTAAACTTCATCTAGAGCCTGCTTCAGAAAATGCTATTGAAGATGCATCTACTACAGATCGGTTGAATTTTGACAGATTTGATATATGTAGATTGTTACAACATGGAGCATCACTTTTGGGATCTGCTGGTGCAGAGTTTGAAGTACAAGATGAAAAATCAGGTATGTAGTAATCCTTTAAAAAAGTCTGAAATGTATGTATTCAAACTAGTTTGTCACTAGGTATACTTTGTATTAGACATTTTGAAATCAAACATGTCACAAAGTGTACATTTTTTTAAAAAGATCTATTTATGCATACAGAATGGGTAAAGGCCAGAGGTGCAGGGGCAGTGACAGGATTCACCAGAGACAGATCGGGGAGCAGAAAAGGCAGATTGATGAAGTACACTGGCTGAGGAGAGCAGCGGACAAGACAGGAAAAGTATGCTGTGCCATGCGGATCACTTCCCTAGCTGGGATGTAAGCATGCTGGAACGGCTGTGGCTCTCTTCATAGTGCTATGCCTTTAACCCAATGTGCCACCAGGGAGGGCCCACAAAGTGAAATTGATTGACACTTGCTGGGAGTTGGGGGCACAGTGGATGGGAAGGGTAGCCAGGTCCCTTTGTTCTAAAGCTCCCATATAAATACTTTTCTTAACTGAATATGTACCACACCATTAATAGGTACATTTTATTATTTCATTCTGCAACAGTTTATTATGTAATAGAGAAATTTTAAAGTGTTACTCAAAGCTTCAGTTCAGTAGATTTTAAAATTCAAGATTAGTAATTGTGGTAATGTTTTTACAGTTCTGAAAATTTGAGTCTATATGGTAGTTTTATCATGTGTTTCAAATATTTAAATAATTGGATCTACTCATGCTGGTGTTGACCAAAGCGAAAACGAAAAAGTGAAAAATAAATTTAAAGAGGTAATTGTCCCATTATCTTTAAACTTACAGAATCCAACTGGATAAAAAGTAAATGTTTTGGCCATTCAAGATTGATGCCTTGAGTGGAAAAAACCTTGATGTTTTTAATGGATTTTTGTAAGTAAATAGTTGCTTTTTTGACTAAAACCAAAACAGAACTCCATTTTGTTTTGCTGCTACTTAAATTAATCATTAGTCAGGTGATATCTAGCCAAATTAATCTTGAAATGAGCTTCAATGTGTTCATCTTTTAAAAAATATATACTTTGTAGCTTCATATGAGACTTCTGTTGAAAGACCTATTTTAATTATTTTGGAGAGAATTAAGAAAATACTAAGTTCAGAAAAGCATCATTTTTTAAAGGAGGTAGAATTTAAAAAAAAATTCCAATTTGAAAAAAAAAACTTACAAATTTACTAAAGGACATCATCAGCAATCACAGCCCTTATTCAGGAGTAAATAAGTGTTAACTTTTGCCATTAAAAAAAAAGTGTGTGTTTGGGTCTTATCCTTGAGATTCTGATTTAATAGAGCTATGAATTTTTATTTTGAAGAAAAAATACTCATGGGTGACAAGTATTTAACTAGAATTTAATATTAAATTAATACTTAACCAATTAAATGTCTGTGCCTCTGTGTTAGCCTTTGCATATATGTTAATGACAGAAACTTTATAGGTGCTGGTCAGTTTCTTTTCAGTTGTGTGGGTTATTTTCCCTTAACAGAACTTTTCTGGAATGAGAGGGCTACATACTATATAAGTAAACTGAGTTTGAAATTCACTTTTTGTGTATCTAGTATTCACTTTTTGTGTGTCTAGTATTTTTCTCTCTGATTATAGTAGCCTTTAAGAATTTTTAAAAATAGCCTAATTGAGATAATTCATATACCATTTTTTAATAAAAGATTTATTTATTTATTCATATAGAACTGGGGTACAGGCTACGGGGTGGTGAGAAGATTCACCGGAGACAGAGTGGGGAGCAGAACAGGCAGATCGACAAAGTACACTGCTGAGGGGAGCAGCGGGTGGGTCAGGAGAGGTCTGCCTCACCATGCGGATCTCCTCTGGGGCAGACGGGGATCAAACTCTCATGTGGAAGTGGCGTAAGCTTCTAGTGCAGTGCTTTAACCCGCTGCGCCACCAGGGAGTGCCTCATATACCATTTTAAGGCATACATAACTCTTCAGTGCTTTGGTTTTTTTTTTTTAAGGTATGCATACAAAACCAGAGGTGTGGAGGGGTGAGAGCATTCACCAGAGATAGAGTGGGGAGCAGAACAGAGCAGAGGTATGAAATACACTGCTGAGGGGAGCAGTAGGCAAGACAGTATAGGTCTGCTCTGCCATGTGGGTGGGTTGGCTCCCTGGAGCCTGGGGATCAAAGTGGTTCTGGCAAGCACTGTCTTTAATCCCTGCACCACTAGGGAGGTCCCAGTTGGTTTTTTGTTTATTTGTTTTTAGTATATTTACATTTATGCGCAACATATTTTAGAACATTTCACTAGAAAATTCTGTATTTATAGCTATCAGTTTTCCATGCCCTTACCTCTTTCTCTTCTACTGACAAAGATGAAGCAACATCTTTGTTCTGTAGATTTGCCTGTTCTGGACATTTCATATAAAAGAAATCATGCAAGGTGTTGTTTTCTTGTGACTGGTTTTGTTAACATATTTCCAAGGTTTGCTCATGCTGTATTTGTGTGTCAGTAGTACTTTTATTTTTAAAAGATTTATATATTTTAGGCATATACAACTGGGGTACAGGCCAGAGGTGCAGGGGCAATGAGGGGATTCCCCACTAGAGACAGTGGGAAGCAGAACAGGCAGATTAAGGAAGTACACTGAGGGAGCAGCAGACTAGACAGGAGAGGTCTGCCACTCCATGTGGGTTCCCTTCCTGGTAGCTTCATAGTGCTGAGACTTAACCCCTGTACTACCAGGGAGGCCTCTTTGCCCATTTCTTTCTTTCTGTTTTTTTTTTTTTTTTAAAGATTTATTTATGCATACAGGCCAGAGGTACAGGGGCAGTGAGAGGATTCACCAAAGAGAGAGTGGAAAGCAGAATAGGCAGATGGGCAAAGTATACTGCTGAGGGGAGCAGCGGATGAGTATTTCTTCCCATCCTTTTTTTTTTTTTTTTACTTTCTTCATGGCATCCTTTAATTTTGAAGCACAGGAAGTTACTGATTCTGATGAACTCAAATGTAGTTTCTCAAGCTTTTGTCATCATGTATAAGAAACTATTGCCAAATCTGAAGTCATTTACTCCTGTGTTTGTTTCTAAGCATTTTATAGCTTTCTCTTACTATTGGGTATTTTGATTTAGTTTGAGTTATTATTTTTAATGCTGTGAGGTTAAGGTTAAAGTTCAGCTTCATTCTTCTGCACAGGGCTATCATGTTGTCATAAAACCATTTGTTGAAAAGACTGTTCTTTCCATTGAGTTGCTTCACACCCTCGTTCAAAAACCAGGTGACCTTAGACCCTACTTTTACTTTGGGGCTGTTTCCATTATTGGTCTCTTTATGCCAATTCCTTATTGTCATGATACTGTTGATTAGTAATAAATTATAAAACCAAGAACCAACTTGGTTCTTTATCAGGATTGTTTTGGATATTCTGGGTCTCTTGCATTTCCATATGCATTTTAGGATCAATTTATTAATATCTGCCCTCCACCCCCAAAATAAAGAAAAGCCATCTAGTATTTTGATAGAAATTGTGCTGAAGCTGTGTATCAATATGGAAAGTATTTACTCTCTTAACAATGTTAGGTGTATGATCCCTGAACATGGAATGTTTCTCCATTTATTTAGTTTTTAGAACATAGTTTTAAGTTTTGCTTTTAATACTGTTGTAAATAGAATTGTTTCCTTGATTTTATATTTAGGTTTGATTCTTTAAATCTTTTTTTATCCCTACCCTGTTCTTTATATTGGGTACTTTGTTTTTCTTTAAGTTCATTTGCACATTGTTCTATTATTTCCATTTACCTGTTAAAACTCAGTGATTTTTAAATTTCATACATTGTGTCCTTTAGTTCCAGATGTACTTTAAAGAAAAAAACAAAACTGTTGGCCTATTTGAACATCATCTAGTTCAACCCTTCCAACTGAATGCCTCTAATTGCTTCTTTTTTTATAATTTCTGTTTCTCATTGTAGGTACCTATCATTTCATCATTGTGAGAGTACCTTCTTTTACACTGAATGTGTTATATTACCTACTTGAATATTCTAATTCTGATATCAGAAGTTATCTAAGTCATCTTAAAATTGACTATAATTTTCTTTTGAGATCACTTTATATTTCTAATTCCTTGTCAGTTAACTTTTGTTTGTATTCCTCACATTGTAGGCTAGATTCGGATATATTCTTTGAGTATGTTTTGAGTTGTTTTGTTTCCACAGTCATTTAATTTGGCATGACTAAAATTGCTAACTTGGTCTCCTCTGTGAAGGGTTCAAACCTCAATTTTTTTAAAAAGATTTATTATTTATGCATACAGAACTGGGGTACAAGGCAGAGTGCAGGGGCGGTGAGAAGATTCACCTGAGACACAGCGGAGAGCAGAACAGGCAGATCGACGAAGTACACTGCTGAGGGGAGCAGCAGGAAAGGTCTGCCATGCCATGTGGATCACCTCCAGGGTGGAGATCGAGCTCATGCTGAAGTGGCTGTAGCTTCATAGGTGCTGTGCTTTAACCTGCTGTACCACCAGGGAGGACCTCAAACCTCAGTTTTTATCTTTAGTTGGACTGTTAAATGTCTATCTTGTACATGCGCAGTTCAGAGGTCAGTCAGAGATTTGCGTTTATATAGAATTTGTGTTTTTCTCTGACTCCCTTCTGCTTTGTTCCCTTTCCACAACTTAGTGGCTCTAGTGACCTCTGGTTCTGTTTTCTCTAGTTCCTCAAACTAGAAAGATTGTGGGCTTTTAAATCCAAATTTTATCTATCTCCTGTATCTTGGGCTGGGTTTATATCTAGACAAAAAGTTGCAAAAATGGTAGTCACCCAATGCCTTGCTTTTCTTTCAGGCAGTAATATGCTTAATTTTGTTCTCTTTCCAGTACCTTCAAGTAGCAATTTCTTATCTTTTGGCTAGCGTTTGTTTTCTGTAGAGGGTTAGAGCAATGAAAATTTAGTCATTATTAAAAATATTCTTGCTATTGAGCTTTTTAAGTCAGAAGTCTTAGTTTTTAAAATATACTTTAAATATACTGGATGGTTTCATTCATAGCAGGAGCATAGAGGACCAGGGGGGAAAAATAATAATGAACAACTATATACCAGAGACATTTTGCGGGAGTGGAGTGGGGAATGGGATCAAAAATGGTTGGGGGGGAAATGGGATCAAAAATGGGGGGAGGGGGGAGAGAAATGCACGGGATTATGGTGATGGCACACGGGTGATTTGGTGATGGGAAACCTGCGGGAATTACAATTGAGATGGAAAAAAAATGTACAAAATGATGTAAAAATAAACTTTTGTAATAAAAAAAATATTAAAAAAAAAAGGGTTAAGCCTCCACCATTCTCAAGGTAGAGCAAAATGTATGCAAGCATCAAAACAGTCTATTTAAGGTATTATGGAAATTTCATGCATTGGGTTTTTAAAATGGGAGTTGCAACCATATGTCTTTGATGGCTTGGACATTTAACAATTTAAGCCAGTAGGGTGGATAAAATTACTTTCGGAAGTCCTCTGCAAAGGGATGATTCTGTGTTCACTTGTACATTTTGGATAGCAGGTTTTTAAATGTGGTTAAATGCAGCTTGAACAATAAAGAGATTAGGACTAAAAAAAAAAATGGTGGTGGGGGAGAGTGCACTGGACTATGGTGATGGCACATGGGTGATTTGGTGATGGGAAGCCCATGGGAATTACAACTGAGATGGAAAAAGGCACAAAATGATGTAAAAATATATTATTATTAAAAAAGTGTAGTCTTTGATCTGTTTTCCACTGAAGTATTGAGGATTTTACTTGGGAAATGAAAAATCTGTGTATACTTACATGCCTTTATTTTTGTTATTAGGGTTAGGAGAATTCTGATATCTTTGAATAGATAAAGGCCATCCTTGGAATATATATATGAATTTTTGAGATTTTTTTCTGTTAAATGAAATCCATTTTTTTAAAAGCCTATGCAGATCTTTCAGAGAATGTATAAGATAAGAATGCTATATAAAGTGATTGGTTTATTTCAGTAGGAACAGTTCTTATATATAGTTGGTAATTGACAATAGAACAAAGCAGGAATCACAGTGAAATTTCCTAGCATGTTAGCTAGAACACTGTTTTCGAGTAATGATTAGACACTAAGCTTATGACATGTTCAGATTGTGAATGTGGTTTATTTTACTGTGAGATGGGGTATCTATCATTAAAGGGTTTTAAAATTTTTTATTCTGGTGTAATCTTCATGTGTTAGAAGAGTTCTTAACTGATTTGGAGGAACTTTATTTCTTTTCTGTTTAAAGGAGAAGTGGATCCTAAAGAGAGGATAGCACGACAACGAAAATTATTACAAAAGAAGCTTGGCCTTAATATGGGAGAAGCCATTGGAATGAGTACTGAAGAACTCTTTAATGATGAAGATCTGGATTATACCCCAACTTCAGCAGCCCTTGTAAACAAACAACCTGTAGGTAAAACCTTTGTTCCATTACAAACAATATAATTGCATGGTGGTTGCTTCATTTTTGCTTTGCAGGTGCATTTATAAAAAATGTTGCCCTTAATTCTGATCACTGCTGTTTAATACCTCTATAATTTAGTGTCTTTATAAATTGATTTCTGGTGACAGATTCTAAAAACCTAAACATGGATGTTCAGCACCCTCATAGATACCAAACTATTAAGTAAAATGTGTGTGGGAGGGCTTCTTAGGAACCATTGGTTTTGAGAGGTCCTAATTGCATCATTTGCTGCTTCCATTATTCTTTAATGAAGGCACCAAAAATAAATATAAATGAATGAATAAATAAATGAAAGAATAAATAAAAAGTAATGTTTGAGAAAGTGGGAGATAGTAAAGGGTATCACAGATATGTTAATACTAAAAACTTTTAGAGCTACAATTCATTCTTTTATTTGAGAAAGTAGCAAGCATGCTAAGTAGAAAACTTTCAAACAATGCAAAAGTGTATACAGTATGAAGTAAAAGAAGTTTCTTTCCAATAATTGATAACACCATGTTCCTTTGCCCTACAGGTAACCCCTTTTAAATTACTTGTTCATCCACTATGAAATTTTATATGTATAGAAAAGTGTGTTCTTTTAAGATATATATATATATCTTTTATCATTTCATATAGCATATTAGATTATATAGATCATTCATTTTGAACAACTTCCTGCTGTTTTATTGTATGACTGAACCATAATTTTTTTCCATAGGCCTCCCTTTTCTCTTATTCTTCCATTTCTTTGTTTTTTTTTTCTTTTGTGTGTGTATGCGCCCCAGACTTATTTTTTTTTTTTGCACCCCAGACTTTTTTTAAGCTCTAGAAAAAGCTGTGGCTCTCAAAGAAAAATGCACATATAAGTGAAATAATGTCTTTTCAATGGTTTAGTCTCTTCCCACTTTTCCTTTTAATATCCTTTTAGGGTTCCATGGACTTGACTAAGAATTTTTATGTTGCAGTTATTAAACTGTCTTGTAACTCTTGTCTTTGCCTTTGTTTAATTGGGAAATGGTTCTGTTTGCCTTCATATTAGTTACCCTCTAAATCTTTAGAATTTGTTAAACTGTTTTTTGGCTATAGGGAATATGATGATGAGTAACTTTTGCAGACAGCAAAAGAAATAGCAGATACCAGAAGCAAAAAGGAGAAGAGGGTACAGAGATATATATTAAAATCAAGAAGGAATGGAAGGAAAAGGGATGTCAGGAGAAGTAGAAGCTGTAGAATAGGAAGAAATCACAATAAAATAACACCACCAAAATAATAATATGATCACTGTGTGATAACTAGGCATGTGTAAGAAATGGATAGGCAGGTATATTAGAGAAAATAGGCTACAGACAGAATAGTTGGCTATGAAATGGACAGGTGCCAATTTGAGGTTTGCAAGCTCCAAGTTTGTTTGGCTTTAAATGGCATGAACCTTTGGGAGACATTGCTATTAGCTCACTATAGCTTCATTGTATTGTATATGTACCAGTGGTTCCTGGAACTAAGACTGCAGGAGGATATCTACACTGGTGAACCCGTAGAAGTGTAATTAGCTGTAGAAGTGTAAATTTCCATTGAATGTTGATCAATTAAAGGCAGAACAGATTTCAGGTTTGGATTGAACTGTTTTTATCTCACAGCCTTTATAATGCTTCTGTGAGTGGGAAAGAAAACAAACAGTCCACTAGTGGGTTGTGAAGATGACAGGAACAAATGACTGATTTGACTGTAGCATGCGGGACATCAGCCATTTATGGTTATAGTTTTTTTTTTTTAATCTAATGGTCATCAGTTTCTTAAATTGACATTGCTTATTCTGACTTTTGGCTGGTATTAGGATTATTTTTGAAGTCTCACCTCCTCAGAGTCCTCTCTGTAGGTTAGGATCATACATTTTATTACCTCTAGGACATAAAAAAGGTTAAAAACACACGTGCATTTGTTGGGAATGGGAAAAGTAGTAAAGAAGGAAGAAGTCAGTGAAATGATGGTACAGCCATACAAAAGAGTGGCATGAAGTTGTCAAAAAAGAATGTGATCAATCTGTATACAGTGAAATGTATAGACCTAGTACTTGTCTGAGGATGAGTATAGGTATTTATCTTCACTTCAAAGTTAAAATTCTGTATTCTTTATTCTTTTAGACTCTCCAAGCTGCTGAATTGATTGATTCAGAATTTCGAGCTGGAATGAGTAATAGACAGAAAAATAAAGCTAAAAGAATGGCCAAGTTATTTGCGAAACAGAGATCCAGGGATGCAGTAGAAACTAATGAAAAAAGGTAGTAGTTTTTTTCTTCTCATTTATTTAAAACCTTAATGCATAAATCTGTATTTGCTTGAGTTCTAAAAATATTTTGCAGACATAGTGCTGTGCTTTGGAGTATCACTTACATTGCCTTGCTCATTTGTCAGTAAATATTTACTATTGCAGGGGACTGGGGCAACTCTCCCAGAAAATCCACATATATAAGATTTATTATTCTTTATTATGGACTCTGAATGAGGGCTGAAAATCTTCGAAGGGGGGGAGCATGTTACAGGGAGAGGGAATAGTTGTAAATGCCTTAATCAGGCAATTTTCAAGAAACAAAAAGAGTGATATATCTAGGATAAGTTGACAAGTGAAAGTAGAAAAGAATGAAGTCAGGGAGATGTTCTAAGCCACAAATTAAGAATGGTGCTTTAGTACAATGAAAACTGTCACAGTATCACATCATCTGTTTTCTAGGCTAGGGGCTGAACCAAATGGGGGATAATTGGTTATGCAATTCTGTTACAAAAAGGAATTCTGTGGGTAAAACCATTGTCCTCACTTTCTCAATGTGTTAATGAAAGTGATATTTTGGTATGGGTTGAGAGTAACATTTATGAGAATGACTTACTAAAATTCAGATTCTTGGGACCCATTTAAATTATAATCTTTAGTGGTGTTTAATAAATGTTTGAGTATAAGATTAAGTACTTTAAAGCCTATGAAAATTAGGTTTTACTATAAAAGACATTTTTTTGTTCTTTCCATTCATTCAAAGCTAAAAAGTAATCATTTAAATGTTAGGATATAAATGATAAATATCTGCCTGGCATACATTTTTACATATGGTTGAATTGTTGGGTCTTAAGTATGAAATCTTTGTTGAATTTGTTAAAGAGTTTTGTTAGTGAAGTAGCTTGTTAGGATCGTAGAATAACCTAATATTAGTACATCTGTTGACTTTAGTCTTACGAGCACTTACCCCCAAAGATTTGAGCTTGGAAATACTAGACTTTAATTTTTAGAGTTCATAATTCATTCCAGAAATGCATGTTGGACACCATCTATATACCAGGTACTATCATAGGTCCTCAGGATAAAATAGTGAATAAAACAGGTAAGAATTTCTGTCTTTGTAGATTTTGTATTATAGAAAGATAGATGAGGAGCAAGATAAACCAGTAAATGTATAGAATTTATATATCATTTACATATGACAAAGGGATAAGGAAGAAACGAAATAATGCAAGGAACATGTGAAATGTTTTTGTGGAGAGTTTGAAACTACACCTAGGATTAGCAAGGGATTCAAGAGAGATGAAACTTCTTAGTAAAATCTGAAAGAAGCGATGATGCTAACCTTCAGAATACCTGAAAAAGATATTCCAAATAGTAGAGGGAATAGCAAAAATAAATGCCCAGAAGTAGAAACATGCCTAATAAGATCTAGGGCAGTAGAGTAACCAAATCTAGTAATTAGCTGAAGAGTAGAGAGGCTCAAATTTCTTTCATCACTATTAGAAAAGAATGGTTGGTCAAACAATTACCTAAATAAAGTGAGGGGCGGTTATGGAACATAATGCTGTACTTAACTGTGCTAATTATTCCTTTTAATATTAAATAGTTATACTTATCTTCTCCTTTGTAAAATATTGCTAGACTGGATTTGATAACATCTGGCTTTTTAGTAATATATCATTTCTTCAAATTTTCTAGACATACTTCTACTGGTCAGCTGCTTTGTTTCTCTATTTTTAAAGCAGTGATAAAATTAAACCGTATTACTCAGTATATAATACAGTATGTACTGTATACTCTAGGGTACAACCACCTAAAAATGTTAGGCTGGGCCAGATTTAGGTTGTTATACCAAGGGAGTTTAAAGAAAAAAAAAAAAGGCCGCTTCTTTCTTTTTTCTTTTCTTTTTCAAGATGTATTTATTTATGCATACAAGAACTGAGGTACAGGCCAGAGGTCTGGTGCGGAGGATATGAAAGGATTCACCAGAAATAGAGTAGGGAGCAAAACAGGCAGCTCTTCTGAAATAACACTGCTGAGAGGAGCAGTAGGAGAGGTGTACCTAACCTTATGGGTCACCTCCCTGGCTGGGAGTCGAACTCTTGCTGCTGTGGCTTTGGATAGCTTCATATTGCCATGCTTTAAACCTATTATGCCACCAGGGAGGACCCACTTTCTTTCAGAAGTAAGAGAGGAAGATAAAGAGATTTTAAATTTGAGATTCAATTTGAAAGCAAGAATTCACTGACCTATTTTATATTATTCAATAAACAGAGTAAGATACATATATACTCACAATTATTTAAGTGGTTAAATTATTTTTTAAAAAGATTTATTTATTCTTGCATACAGAACTGGGGTACAGGCCAGATGTGCAGGGGCGGTGAGAGGATTCATCAGAGACAGAGTTGGGAGCAGAACAGGCAGATCGATGAAGTATACTGCTGTGGGAGCAGCGGGCGGGTCAGGAGAGGTCTGCTGCGCCATGTGGTCACCTCCTAGGCAGGCGGGGATCGAACTCATGTGGAAGTGGCTTTAGCTTCTTAGTGCTGCACTTTAACCCGCTGCACCACCAGGGAGAGCCTAAGTGGTTAAATTTTAAGTAAACCATACCAAAAAATGCAAAACATTTGTTCTAATTATGGATTCTCTTAATTCATTACTTAACCTTTACTGACTTTTCTCATTGTTTATTTGTTAGCAATGATAGCACTGATGGGGAACCAGAAGAAAAGAGGCGAAAAATAGCAAATGTTGTTATTAACCAGTCTGCAAATGATTCCAAAGTCTTGATTGACAATATTCCAGACAGTTCTTCCTTAACTGAAGAGGTATTATTGAAATGTCTTAAAGTGTTCTTTGAAGTTATTTTTTATATTAATGTCAGCATCATAATCTGTAACTGAGAAATTTTATGATTAAAAATATTAGTAAAATTTGTAATTAAAATTTTAAAGCCTGTCTAATATTACTAGACCTGCAAAATGAATATACTTAATTAAATTAAATTATTAGCATAAAATATGCCTTTGAATTAGAAGTAATTCTTTCTTTCTTTTTTTTTTTTTTTCCAGATAAATGAATGGCCTTTGGAAAGCTTTTGTGAAGAGCTTTGCAATGACCTTTTTAATCCCTCCTGGGAGGTAAGATTTCTTCATTGCAGTTTCTTTCAGCTCAGTTTTCTTTGCTAATGAGGGAAACATGTCATACATAATTTATTTTATCAGGGTTGTAATTCTTTCCCTGTCTCCCTCTTAGGACCACTTACAATACTTAATATCATTTTACCTTCTAAGTAGCAAACTTGTAGACTGATTATTACTTTATATACCCTTTCTGCCCTATTTCTTTAGTGAATTGTTCATTTCTTTTCATTCTTTCACCTATAATATACTTAGATATCTTTCCCAGACAGTGAAACTTTGCTGTGGAAGTTTATAATTTTGACTAAGAGCAATAGTTTTCAAACCAGCTTTTTAACCTCAGAAATACTTCTTCACAGAAAATCTTGAATAGGTGCCAACTTATGAACGAGATGAAAGTGAAGCCCATTTGGTTGTGAAGTTGAGGGCTAGTGGTCTCAAAGTATTTTGTCTCACTCAACTTGCCTTGTGGGCAATTTTAGAAAATACTGCTTTGGAATATCATTAAGCATTCTTTCTACTCCTGAATGCACTTCTATTTAAAACTATTCAAGTCTCAACTCAAATGGGGTCTTGAAGAAGTGTGCAGTGCTAGTGGCCTATTTCCTCCCTTCATATGACAGGGCAGAAGACTATTCTGTAGTGAAGCATTAATCATGAGATATTTTGAGTTGTCTTCCTTTAACATTTAACATTGATAACTTTGGAACTTAGTTTTGATGCATTTTTTCTTTTATCTTTTTTTGGTGAGTTAACATTGCTATGTATGTTTTAGATGTATGGATTCATACTTTTTCTTTGATCACACTTTTTCAAATGTACATTGCCAAGTCATACCTAATAGTACCAATAACCCTCCACCACGTTCCTTTTAACTCACTCCACTCTTTGTTTCTATCCATACTCCCCGCCTCCCCCTACAACTTCAATTCTGCAATACTTGGATTCTTCCAAGGATTTATTCTGTCTTTATCTGTGCCTTTATTTTGTTTCTTTATATTCTACACAAGAGTGAAATCATTTAGTATTTTTCTCTGTCTGACTTAACTCCTCCAGTTCCATTGATATTGTTGCAAATGGCAAGCTTTCATCCCATTCACCCCTCCTTTTTAATAGCTGAGTAGTATTCCATTTTGTATTTATTTTATACTACATCATCTTTATCCAGTTATCTTGATGGGCACTTGGGTTGTTTCCATAACTTGGCTATTGTGAATAGTGCTGTGCCATGTTGGTTAGTTCCCTGGCCGTGAGTCGAACTCATGTTGCGGTGGCTGCTGATAGCTTCATAGGGCTGAGACTTAAACCCTTGCACTACTAGGGAGGCCCTTGCCAAGTCTTTATTAATCCATTTTGAATTGTGCTTGGCATGAAATAGTGTTCTAGTTTACTCTTTTGCAAGTGACTATCTGTTTTCCCAGAATCATTTGTTGAAGAGATTTTCATTTTTTCCATAACATGCTATTGCTTCCTTGGTAAATTCACTGTTTGTGGGTTTATTTCTGGACTCAGTTCTATTTCACTGGTCCATTTCTCTGTTTTTGTTTCTATGCCATGCTTTTTTTTAAAAAAGGAATTATTTATTTATGCATACAAGAACTGGGGTATAGGCCAGAAGTGCAGCAGGAGTAGGGTGCTGAGAGGATTCACCAGAGACAGTAGAGAGCAGAACAGGCAGATAACTAAAATACACTGCTGAGGGGAGCAGAGGGCAAGACAGGAGAGGTCTGCTGCGCCATGTGGGTCAGCTCCCTGGCCTTGGATCGAACTGGTGCTGCAGGCTGCTAGTAGCTTTGTAGTGCTGTGCTTTAACCCTTGTAGCGCTAGCACCTTGCTATTTTGACCTACTTTATAGATAATTGGGGTTGGGACTATAAAGAATAGTATATGATACGTCCTTCTCTCCACTTTGATGCCAAGAATGCTGAATATAGGTAAAGGGTAAAGGAGTGACAATTCTTAGTGTCTCAAAAGAGTTTAGAATAGCTATTTTAGTTTGACATTTAAAAAATTACACAAAATTTTCCAAAGCTGTGAAACTGATTTATGTACCGTTTCTTGGATAGTAAGAGAAAAACATTTCTTATAAATACCAGTTTATTTAAATTTTTTAAATATTTAATATCACTTTTTCATACTGAAACAAAGTGAAACTTAGTTTCTTGAGTATTTAAGCTCTTAACATTTGCTTCTTGGTTCTTCATAGGTTCGACATGGTGCAGGCACTGGACTTAGGGAAATCCTGAAAGCTCATGGGAAAAGTGGTGGTAAAATGGGAGATAGCACATTAGAAGAGGTAAGTGTAGTAAAGCAGCAGTTATCATCGGTTTAGTAGTTGGTCTCTTTCACTAAATCAGGGAATTAACAGAGTATAAGCAAGCATGAATATTTGAGAAGAAAATAATAGATTGGGAAGTAGAGTGAGATGAATAAGATGATAGTTTAGAAGTCAGTGACCAGTGTGATTGGTGTAGCATGGAGACATTAGTGATAGAATAGATTATAGATATATAATAGCTATAATTGATATTAGCAACCATAAGTATTAATTTCTCTTAGAACAAATAATAGAATTAATGAATTTAGAGACTTTGGTATATTTGAATCTAGTTAATCATCAAAAAGGATGTGGTTAATTTAAAGGTAATAATTAGGCTCTTCTGCATTTTGGTTTTTTTTTTTTTAAGATTATTTATGCATACAGAACAGAGGTACAGGTCAGAGGTGCAGGGGCAGTGAGAAGGATTCACCAGAGTCAGAATATGGAGCAGAACAGGCGGAATGATGAAGTACACTGCTGAGGGGAGCAGTGGGCGGGTCATGATAGGTCTGCTGCACCATGTGGATCACCTCCGGGGCTGGGGATCAAACTCATGCTGAAGTGGCTTTAGCTTCTTAGTGCTGTGCTTTAACCCGCTGTACGACCAGGGAGGGCCCCATTTTGGTTATTTTTTTTAATAGTTTATTTTTGCATCATTTTGTGCTTTTTTCTATCTCAGTTGCAATCCTCGTGGGCTTCCCATCACCAAATCCACCCATGTGCCATCAGCATAGTCCTTCCCCCCCACTGTTTTTGATCCCATTCCACCCCCATAAAATGTCTCTGATATATAACTGTTCGTTATTATTATTTTCTTGCCTGGTCCTTTAAACTCCTGCTATGAGTGAAACCATCTGGTATTTTTCCTTTTCTTTTTTGGCTTATTTCACTAAGCTTGATCTTTTCCAGCTCCATCCATGTTGCTGCAAAAGGCATGTGTTTATTTTTTTTTTTTTGGTTTGCTGAGTAATATTCCATTGTGTCTATGTACCCCATCTTTTTAATTCAGTCATCTACTTTTGGGCATTTGGATTGTTTCCATGTCTTTCCAATTGTAAGTAAAGCAGCAATAAACATGGAGGTTCAGGTGTCTTTTTGAATCAATGTTTTTTTATCTTCTGGGTAGATACCTAGAAGTGGGATTGCTGGGTCATATGGAAGCTCCATTTTTAGCAGTTTGAGGAACCTCCAAACAGTTTTCCATAGTGGTTGTACTAGTTTGCATTCACACCAGCAGTGCAGGAGAGTTCCTTTTTCTCCACATCCTTGCCAACATTTGTTGTTGATAATTGTTTTAGGATATGCCATTCTCACTGGTGTAAGGTGGTATCTCATTGTGGTTTTAATTTGCATCTCCCTTACTACAAGTGATGTTGAACAATTTTTCATGTTTTTTTTTTTTTTTCAATAACAAAAATACTGTGTCCTTTAAGTTTTTAATTTGGACCTTAATGTTTCCCTAGTCCAAGGACAGAGTGTGATCTATGTCATTTTAAAAATGTCTTTTAACAGATGATTCAGCAGCATCAAGAGTGGTTGGAAGACTTGGTTATTAGACTCCTGTGTGTTTTTGCATTAGACAGATTTGGAGACTTTGTTTCTGATGAAGTAAGTATCACCTAAGAGTCACAGTCCTCTTATATGTCAAATTTTACAAAGTAAACCTTTTGAAATAGAAATTTTCTTCCTTTCTCATTTTTAGGTTGTAGCACCAGTTCGTGAAACATGTGCTCAAACATTAGGTGTGGTGTTAAAGCACATGAATGAAACAGGAGTTCATAAGACTGTGGATGTTTTGCTTAAATTACTTACACAAGAACAATGGGAAGTTAGACATGGTGGTCTGCTGGGAATAAAATATGCCTTGGCAGTTCGTCAGGTAAACACTTCAGATTTTGAAGCATTGTAGGATACTCTTTTCCCTTTGTTTATCTTAATTAATTATATGAAATGACCCTAGATTATTCTTTTTGCAGACAAGGCAGTAGTACTTCTAAGATTTGTCATCTTGAGATAGTATGATAGAGATAGGTTATGCTAGTAAGAATTTAAGTGTAAATCTAAAGATGGTAATCTATATTTGGAAAATTACTATTTCATGGAAGACCAATTCTCAGTAAGAGTCCTAATATAAGATCACAGGAGTAGCTCTGGAAGCTGATTTTATTGGGGAAATTGAAGAGTTGTATGTAATAATCATACAGTGTGCATGTGTGTGTGTACACATGCACAAGGAGCAGGCAACACAGGAAGGTTTGCTGTGCCATATGTGGGTTAGACCCCTGGCTGGGATATAGTGATCCCAGGCTGTAGTAGTATTAAGGCTGAGACTTAATCCCTAGGCCACCAAGGAGGCCCCCTATCGTACCCATTTTGTTATCAGTTGTACTGCATGAGAAGTAGAAGTTAAGATTCTAGTATAGAGTATGTTGTTTGTGTGTTAACACAGAAAATTGGGAGTCTTACCTCATGTTCTGATGTTTTGAATTGCATGAATAATGAAGTACTTAATACTGTCGTAGTCTTTTCCAAATGAGATTAGCTACATAGATATCTGTGAATATTGTTTTTATTTGATTTTTTTTTAAATACTGGTTTTTATGTTTTTTTATGGCAAATTAATTTTAAAAAGTCCAAGCACAATTGTACTACAGTAAACTAATATATTTTAATACTTTTACAGGATGTAATTAATACTTTATTGCCTAAAGTCTTAACTAGAATAATTGAAGGACTCCAGGACCTTGATGATGATGTCAGAGCTGTTGCTGCAGCATCTTTAGTACCTGTGGTAGAAAGCCTTGTCTATCTTCAGACACACAAGGTAAATTAGATATTTTTGAATTTCTTCCCACAGAGCTTGCTTACATTTTTTTAAAGAATCAATTATTTATGTATACAGAACTGGGGTGCAGGCCAGAGGTGCAAGGGAGGTGAGAAGATTCACCAGAAACAGAGTGGGGAGCAGAACAGGCAGATTGACGAAGTACAGTGCTGACAGGAGTAGCAGGCGAGACAGGAGAGATCTGCTGTGCCATGTGAATCACCTCTGGGGCAGGGGTCGAACTTGCATGAAGTAGCTGTGGCCAGCTTGCAGTGCTGTGCTTTAACCAATTGTGCCACGAGGGAGCCTCAAGATTTATTTATTTATGCGTACAAGGACTGGGGGACTGGGATACACCAGAAGTTTGCAGTGTGAGTGGACTCATCAGAGACAGAGTGGGGAGCAAAACAGGCAGATGTACTGAAATGCACTGCATTACCACCCGGCCATATCACTTCCCTGGCTGGGGATCAAACTTTGACTGCAGTGTCTGCAGAGAGCCTAATGGTGTTGTACGTTAACTGTTATACCATCAGGGAGGGCGTGAGCTTGTTCACATGTTGGGCGAGAGATTCAGGAAAAACATTTCTTCATCCTTCATTTTCCTTCTGACTTCCCCTCTGAATCATGTGATATTAAGTATTTTTCTTGAGAAAAATTTCTATTAATCTACAACCCCTTTACATATAGGGAACATTTCTGAGAAAAAAGCAGCCATTTCTACTTTATTTTACTCCTGGTTTTAAACATGTGAATGATTTTGGTATTTGACTTTAATTTGGTTTCATTTTTTGAAGTTCTTCTTAAGTTCTGATTTTCGTTTATATTATTAAAACTAGAATGCACATTTGGAAGTGCAACAAGCAGTATTTAAAATTTTTTAAAGCCAAGTTTGTCCTTCTGATGATTAATATTACCACATTAAATGTATTAAAATTACATAGAGGCTCATGACTTGTGTGTCCATACTATATGTTTCAGTTTTGTTTTTTACATAAAATAGTATGTTGACTCATTTCCTGAATTCTACCCATTATGAGCCTGGTTAAGAAGGGAAGTACTGAAGGAGACTTGAATGGCAGAGTTTGTTAAAGACAAGTAATGTTTCTTTAATTTTGCTCAAAACCAGCACTACCCAAAATCATTGGAATTGTATATGTTGTTGAATCAGTAGCCACTCCTGGAATGCAATTTGACTTGGCTGATGGATATTTTGCATAAAATTAATAACTTTTCTTGATAATTGATGTTATAGGTCCCCTTCATTATAAATACATTATGGGATGCTCTTCTGGAACTAGATGATCTAACAGCTTCAACAAATAGTATTATGACTCTTCTTTCATCTTTGTTAACGTATCCTCAGGTCCAACAATGCAGGTACTTATTTCTTTTTAGTGGGATAAGCTAAATGTGTTTACATACATTTTCAGATTATTAAACATAGTAATATAATAATCTGACACTTTTAGAATTATTAGGTTGCAAGTATCAAAGACCTGTTTTTTAAAAATAATATAATAGTTTATTTTTACATCATTTGGTGCCTTTTCCCATCTCAGTTGTAATCCCCGTGGGCTTCCCATCACCAGATCACCTGTGTGCCATCACCATAGTCCAGTGCACTTCCCCCTCCCAATGTTTTTGTTCCCATTCCTCATTCCACCCCCATAAAATGTCTCTGCTATATAGTTCTTCATTATTCTTCTTATTTTCAACCAAAGACCTGTTTTTTTTTTTATTTTACAACAGTTTATTTTTACATCACTTTGTACATTTTTTTTTCCCATCTCAATTACAATCCCCGCGGGTTTCCCATCACCAAGTCACCCGTGTGCCATCACCATAATCCCGTGCACTTCCCTCCCCATCCCCCCACACCCCCCGTTTTTGATCCCATTCCCCACTCCACCCCCGCAAAATGTCTCTGGTATATGGTTGTTCATTATTTTTGTTATTTTCTTGCCTGCCAAAGACCTGTTTTTTTATTCTCTGGTGGTATATTTGGGGAAGGAATTAGAAAAGGCATATTCTCTAACCTTGTGTTAATTCATTCATGTAAGTCTTCATTTTGTAACTTTAGAAATGTAATTCTTTTAGCTTTACATGTAGAATTTTAACTTTGTTTAGTTGACATTTAGTTAATAGAATTACAACTGAATGTATGTTTTCCAAAAGCTGCTGTTCTGTTAACTTTGTAATGATCATTTTCTTAAGGCTCAAACACTCTTTTTATATATATATTTTGAGATTTATTTATGCTATAAGAACTGGGGTACAGGCCAGAGGTGTGGGGGATGAGGAGACTCATCAGAGACAGTGGAAAGCAGAACAGGCAGACTCACTGAACTATATTGCTGAGAGGAGCAGTGTGGGAGACAGGAGAGGTCTGCTGCTCCATGAGTGTCACCTCCCTTGCCTGGGATAAAACTCGGTGCTGCAGTGGCTGTAGATCACTTCATGGTGTTGTGCTTTAATCCCTTGCAACACCTGGAGGGGGTTCAGGGTTGGGGGGCTCTGTGATGCTCATTTTGACTTCTTGCTCTTGAGTTCAAAATTACACATCAGGAAGAGAATATAAAATAATGAAATACCATATCCAAAAGCAAAGATTGAGTGAAGGAAAAACATGCACCAAAAATTTTAAGTGCCATCTATTTATATTTGAAATGAAGCTCAGCTAAATAATTAATAAATATGTTCCTTACCTTTTAGACTGACTCCTGGATATTATTGTTTCTGATAATAGTATCCTTGGAGATACAGAGGGGAGAATATTGTATGCAATTTAAAAAAGAAAAAAGAGAAAAGAAAACTACTGTCCTTAGCCTAGTGTGGTGGTTTAGTGAATGTTCATGATTATAAATGACTTACTCTGTGAGTGACTGTTTCTAATGAAAATCAGTAGTGTGAAAAACATGTAGAGAATATTTCAAATAATACCAATCTACTGTTATTAATTCAGAGTTAAATTTATAGTTCACAAGTTGGAATAGCAATTTGTGCCTGTAAGTAAGTGCCTATAAAAGTAATTGAGATTAATATTGAACTGATAAAACATATATGGAATTTCCTAATTTTGAGATACTTTCATGAGCAAGAAACTATTTAATAGATATTAAATAGTTAATACATGTGATGAAAGGCCTTCTAAAGCTACAAAATGCCAAGAGTTGATTACAACAAATCAAGGTTTGGATCTTTTATCTACAGAGGCCCAGATAGTGATATTTCAGGCTCTTTGAGCCATAATATTTCTATTGAAACTCCTTAACTATGCCATTGTTGTGCAAAAGCAGCCATTAACAAAAAAGGAATGAATGTGCCTGTGCTCTTACTTCCCCTTAAAAAAATGGTTGTATCACATTTGACCTGTGGGTATTAGTTTATTGACATTGTCCTAAAGGACTTAGTACTTTTAAAAAACAATCAAGTGCATAGCATCAGAAAAGCTAAATAATGTAAGAAAATGAAAGAATGTAACAAAAGTTCTGTAAGTTATGAATAATGTAGTTTGATTTTTTTCTACAAAACTATCTTATTAGAAAATTTGCTTTATATGTTGTGATATTTAGCAGATACTGTCCAGCTTATGTTAGAAGAAATGTAGCATGTCATTTAGAGCATGAATAATTATGTGGTCTGTTAACAAGACCTTTTTATAATGCTTTTTTTAAACTTTAAATCTGTTTTATGTCTGTGTGTGTATATCTGTGTGTTTAAATTAAATAAGTAGACTTACTAAATGTATAAATAAATGTAAGAAGTTGTTTTTATTCAAATCTTAAAGAAATGAAGAATTATTTCCTAGTTCCAGATAACTTTTATGATTCATGGATGTGATAAAAATCCTATAGGCCAGGTTGTTAGTCTAGATAAGGCGTTCTGGCTTGCCCATTTAAAAATATAATCTGTGAGAAATAAGATAATTAAGTTTTCTAAATTTAAAAGGTTGCAGTAGGATAACATTTCATGGCATTGGTGCTATAGAAGAAACTCATTAATATTTCTACTCTTTATGTCCATTTGCTCTGGCTATTCTGGGGCTAATGTAATATTTTGGAGTGAGACTTAAATGAAATTAAGTTATTGAAATTATCTTTTTAGAATCTATCCAAAAAGGTACTCAGTTCACCTGGAAAAAGAATATATCAGGGAAGTTTTAACTTCTCAGTTGAATGAGTTGAGTGGGGTTAACTTGTATCTTTTTTATTAGTATTCAACAGTCACTCACAGTTTTAGTTCCTCGTGTCTGGCCTTTTTTGCATCATACTATATCATCAGTTAGAAGAGCAGCATTGGAAACACTGTTTACATTGTTATCAACACAGGACCAGGTAAGAAACTAATAATTAAATATAATAATGTTGAAATTTTCACATTAGTTTTCTAAAACAAATCTGACCATTTGGTTACTCTTGCTATATTTCCAAAGATCTGGAGACTTGTGGGCCTAGTAGTAGTATAATTATCATGTAGACAAATAAGAACATTACTGTGGCACCAGAAGTATTTTAATGTTTTGTTCTAGGTTGTAATCCCAGTCTTGGAATAGTGCCCAATTCATATGGAGCTCTCAGTAAATAGTCATTGAATGAAAGATTAAATAATTCCTTCCTGTCAGACTTATTACTCAGTCTTTATTGTTTGGTTCACAATTGGATGGTTGGCAGAACATACCCTTGGTTAGAACTCTATCCTTGAAACTCTGCAGCATGACTCTAAAGACAGACAGTAGAATTGTTAAGCATTTACCTGCTCTTGAGTCTTATTAGTCTTAAGAGGATGGTATTTTCCTAGTATCCTTCAGGAGTCACACATTGAAATGCCAAGATCATTTAGGTTATTATCAGTATGCAGATGGTATCTGTAATGCCCTGTTTATACAGTGTTCACATTCCTATTTATTTAAGATAACTCTGGCGGTCAAACAAAATAGTACAATTTAGGAGATATATCAATAAGCAATCCATTATCCTATCATGCTTCTCCTTATAGGTACTGCCATTTGGAACAGTCATTTTTAAAAAGCAATGGTTAATTTTTTTAGACAATAGATTATAGATTGGGTAAAAGCCTGTTGTATTCACTCACCATGCATCTTGATATGAATGAAGGAACAGTCCCTGTAGGCTTGTTTTAACAGCATGGTAGTAGTTATACTTCTGTGACTCATTATCTTTAAATTTTGTTTTGCATTTTCCTCGATTTTGTCTAATTGAGAAAAATCTGTTAGGTTTATTTCATAATGCCTCAGGTGATCAGGCATGTGTGAGTGTGACAAACTGGCCTGGATTTTTCACTTCACTTTTGCCTCAGTTTTGTGGTGTTTAAATGTTGGGTTTTTTTAAACGTTTTAAATGTAGTATTCCTAAATTTTCTTTAGATGGACTTCTAGAAGTTGTGAAATTTCTTCCCTTTACATTTTTTTTTTAAAGATTTATTTATTTGTGCATACAGAACTGGGGTACAGTCCAGAGGCTCAGGGGCGGTGAGAGGCTTCACCAGAGACAGAGTGGGG